CTTCTAATTCAAATATATTTGATAATATTAATGAACTCGATGCACCTCCTAATAATTTAGATGACAATACAAAAGTCAAATGGTATATCCGTAAAGCACAATCAATAAAAATAAAAGAACGAAGCAAATCACAAAAACCAAAGGTTGATCCAAATACTGGAAAAAGATATACAGTCGTCCTCCCATATAATCACACAATTGGGCACATACTACTATGGTGATTATAAAGAAGTGTGACTTTATAAAGGTTACCTCTATATAATCACAGCTTATATTAAAAATAATTATTGTGATTTAATAAAGGTAAAAATAAAATACATTACCCGTTACTTAATATACAAACAAATACGACTATACGTACATATGTAAAAATAATCAGAATTAAATTACTAAACAATATAAATGCAAAGTTTAATCTGTATAGTATATTTTACAAAAAATTTATATAGCAATACATATACTTATTCCACGGTTCTTATTTATACTTCTATACTATTTCTAATACTTATTGCCCAGATCTTGAATTAGACTGATCCAGAATATTTATTTGATCATATCTTTTTTTTTTGTTTCTTAACACATTTTAAATCTTAATGACCTTAATCTGTTGCCAAAAAAAGTCGTCAGATATGAATTAAACAAAAAAAAACGAAGGAAAAGAAACCTTACGATCAATAAACTAAATATTATGATATACGTCTCTTTAATTAAAGGAATAGTATGGAAGTATAAAGAATCGTGAAATAAATTAGTTATTGCCCACTTCGCAGGCAATAACAGTCACCAAGCCCATTTGCATACCTATATATGTACGTATATATGTAAAGTACGTACATATCAGATATGTGCATCATATGTCGAAAACTTAAATTATTTATAATAAATATGAGGAGTATGCTAAAATTTAAGGTTTCTATTTAGATCCATAAAACCTACTAAAACCCACCTATACTTTTTTTATTAATAACAATTCTATCTCTAAATTTTAATCTATCATATTACAAAAAAACTAAATATTATCATAATAGATCTAATTTTCAGCTACGCCAGTGAAATTTGTTATACAAGCATTAGGAATGACTTTATTGATTATAAATTTGTTGCCATCAGAAATCAAGATAAGTACTTTCTTTTATTATCTGCTGAATTCTGCTTAGGTCTTCTTATTAAATATTCCAGTTCAATACCAATAGTCTATATTTTCTTTCTCTTTTTCAGGCGGGGCTTAAAACATGTGATGATTAATGTCTGAATACTGATTTAAATAATGCTCACCTGTTTTTTAATTTATCTTCACCTATTTTTAATTACGTAATAAAAACATTTGTCATCCCTAATTGGATCTCGTTCAATGTGACTTAGTCAGAGTTTAAATAATTTTAAGATTTTTTCATATAAAAGATAACCTTTCAGTAATGATTAATTTTTCTTTTACATTTGCTAAAAATCAAATCAAGGTATTTTACGGTAAATCACGGGAACAAGATATACAATACTCTAATTATGGTAATGTATTACTTCTACCTTCTAATTCTGGACTCAACAACGATAACGAAACTGTAATATATCTATGAATTTTTCTAAAAAAGGAAAATAACAAACGAAAATAAAATAAAAAGAAAAAATGAAGCGAGGCATCCTAGAGCCTTTCACAACGTAACATTTATTAACAGATATTCAATAGCGATGTTTAATAAGCAAAAAAAATTTTTTTTTTTTATCTAAATAGTATTCAAAGTATTGTTTAATAAAACCTAATTTAAAAACTAGATTTTAAGAAATATAGCTATTGAAAATTCATGAATGTTGAAGATAGAAATGGGTAAATATAAATTTACAAATGTTTATACTAAGAATTGCAAAGATTTTTTTATTCGCTCCTTAAGTTCGGCTTTGATACTATAAGCACTATAAAATATTTTAGTAATTTTATTCTTAAAATCGCTAAAATACAAATAAAAATGATTAAAAGGTTTATACATACATACGTACATATGTCACAATGTAAAATCGTAACTATCATAATCCTCATAATCCTCATTATCTTGTGGATTATCTTGTGGCATAAAAAAATCACTAATTGACGTTTGGCGTTTAGATTCATTATATTTTCGATTTACCAAAGTTAAATATTTTCTAAAAATTTTAAGATCCTCAGCTTTAAAATCAGGATCACTTTGTTGTTCAAAAAAACCAACAAACTTATTTAAACCCGTTAACCCTTCTGATATTGAAATTTCTGGTTCTTCGTCATCCGAATCGTCAGGATCTCCATTTTCATATTGATTTGCTTCGTCTAAAACGACTTCGATAATTTCAGAATCATCAAGCTTCTCCTCAGTTAAGATATGCAAATTGTTGAGATCTAAATAGCTATTTAATTGGTTTTCAATTTCTGGCTCTAGGTCTTGGGAGATTAAATCCACCACTAATGTGTTGATATCTTGTTCTTGCTGCTCTAATAATGTATCTTGACTATGCGTGGCAAGTTCAATTTCTTCATGAGATACTAACGGCAAAATTCCTGTTTTATTCCAACAATTGATGATTACAGAATTTTCAACAGCATCCCAAGACTCAGATACGTAGTAAATGGCGTCCTTAATATTTATCTTATTTCTAATTAAAATTAAAATATAATTAGAGATAAAATTTATTATATAATTAAAGTATAAGTATTTATTTTACTTTTTTAAGTCTTCATTATTCTCAAACTGTGTTAATATATGTCGAACATATCTTTGCTTATATTTAGATTTGAAACTTTTAATGACACCCACATCCATTGGCTGAAGGTGAGCAGTGGTGTTTGGAGGTAAAAATTCAAGCTTAATGTTAGTTAATTTTACATTAGAATAATCAGGTATAGGACGTGGTTGACCATAACCATTACCATAACGACCCATACTACCACCAATACCACGACCACCACGACCACCACGATTACTATGATTACCACGATTACCATGATTACCACGACTATTGTTTGCACCTCAATTGGTTCTAATTAATCTTGGCCGACCTTGACCTCGACCTCGACGATTTCCACGCAAAATGGTTGATATTTTAGGCTCTAAATCATTATCGGATATTTCTTCTAAATTTGATTCATCTGATTCATGTAATTCATTGATATTAGGTATATTAGATTGATCATGAAAATGTGAAGAGGCATTATCTACTAGTAACAAGACCTGACGATTTTGAATGCGAAATCTTTGATCTAAATTTTTTAACCATTCAGAAAATATATCATTTCGCATCCAAGCTTGGGAATTTGCACGATAAATAACAGGTAAAGAATCATAATTAATACGAAAAAGCGCACGGGGAGAAATTGATGACCCAATTACTAATGGTCTTAATTTTTCGGTTCCAGTTGCATTACACGCTAACATAATGGTAATTCGTGAACGATCCTAATAATAATATAACAATTGAATTTTAAAAATATTAATTAATTTTAAACTTAAAAGAATTTCTATTTGTACCTGGTAGGTATAGTACCAGAGTATAAGAAAAAAATCAAAAATCGTTAATATCAAAAGTGTTGTTAAGAAAACTAATATAAGGCTCTTTAAGTAAAAAAATATTCAGCGCCTAATTTTACATATAAATGCACTTTTAATTCTAATCCTAACCTTAATAACTATATAGGGTTATATTTTTTTCTTATACGTATCGGGTACCATACTATATAGGTATTTTGAGAAATTTTCTAAACTTTATAGCTTTATAATAAACTAGCCTTTTTAAAACCAGGTCTTGATCGAGATGCAAGTGTTTGATCTGGTGCCATACGAAAAAAGAGTCCCGTTTCATCCGCATTAAACACATTATCTAATGTATACTTTTCAATCAAGTCACGTAATTTTTGCCTATATTCTGGAAGTGAAGATAATGGAGCACTATTTGCTTCACCGTGTAATCTAAAATTCCTAAGATTGTTACGACGCTTAAACTTATGGATCCATCCATTTGAAAATTTTAAGGCATCATCATCTAAATTTAAAGCTTTCGCAAAATCTGATGCTTTTTCTTTGATAATTAATTCTGTTATAATCATTTCTCCATTAGTGACTTGTTCAATCCAGAGTCTCATTGCCTGATCCAATAAAGGATATTTCACTTGCTTATGTCGAAAAGTTATAGAACTCGATTGATCATCAGCAACGACTAACCATCTTGATTTTTCTTTTAAAATTTTAGAAATTGTAGACCGATCTAAATTAAATTTGGGATCTTTGGAATTGAAATGGTTTGCAATATCTGATTGTTTTACATGAGGATGGCTTTCATTATATTCACATATTTCTCGTTTTAAATAATCGCTAATAGCTGTTCTTGGCCTTTTTTGTGATGGGCTTTTAGACATTTTACGCAATATGTAAGACCAAGTATTCACTTAAGAAACTTATAAAACGAATTGCGTTTCCACTTTATTCAATAATTACTTTTATATTTTTAAAATTACAATAATATAAATAAATTCCAATTTAATTGATAAGAGTATTTATTTACAATTACAAAATTTTCTATCCTAAATTGACGCCAAATAAAAACTAGAAATTATGAAATTTATTATGAATTAATAATTCAGAGTTTATATCATTATTTCTAGTTTTTGCTTGGAATAACATTCTTTTAAAGAATGGCAGTCACTTCACCAACATCCAATTTACAAACATTCTGGCTGCCAACAAGAATTCACTTTTATTTACTCTTAAACATTTTTTAAGTTTTAACATTTTGATCAATGCAGAAATTATTTGGGTTTCAAATTCACACGATTTCGAATGACGCGATCGGCTATTGTTTCCTAAAATGAGGAAGCAGAAGTTTTCTTTACAAAGAAGGCTATGTTTATCTGGTAAATACAGGTAACATTTTATTCGCTGATTATCATTTACTATTTTCATTCATGTTTAATTTAAATCCCTTTATAAATGAATCGTTTGAATGCGTTGATTGATTTTTCTTATTAGCCCTTATTGAAATCGCAAGGAATTTTGGCTGTCGATCTCCTGCACAAAGGCGATACAACCAAAAAAAATCTGCACATGCTAATACATATGCGGTTAATATATGTAAAATTCGTGGCACTACATGTCTATGGTATCTACAATACGACGTACGTACGTATGGTGCAGAAATTTAAAACTTCAAATCTAAAAATAAATTCCTTAAATCGTCAATCTCAATAAAATGAGGGGTCCAGAATTCTTAATCTCTTTGCATAGAAATAATATGCAAGAATCATATGTGCTTAACAGCAACTATTTTATGATGAGCCGCTACTGAATTTAGCTTATCTACAATGTGTTAGTTAAACTTTATGCATATAAAGTTATTGAGATTTTTAGGCTTCCGCATCGTATGTATGTATTTACGTAGTTAAAATTTAAGTTTGAATCAAAACATGTTTTGATTCAGGGTTGGTGGACAAATGCATGATTAATGGAAAAATGTTTGTATGCAAAGCTAACCAACCTGATCTCATAAAGGAAACATTCGAATACCGATACGGGCATCATTTTATATTAAATACTGTAATAGCGATAGGAAAAATCTCCGGGAATACATTGCACGGAAAGGGAGTGTAGTAACTGAGGGATTTCTGGTTTTACAAATTTCTGGCTAAAAGACTCAAGTTTCTTACATTTTAAAATTCTTGGTCTTCATACATCAATCAAAGTTTTATTAAATAATAAAAGGATTCAATTTCTACTTGACATGATTTAAAGTTATCCTGATCAATGATTAATCAGTAAATTATAAAAATACTTCAAATAAACTTCTTGGGTATAAACAAATAAAAAGTTCTTGAGATTTTTAAAAATGAAATTTAAATATGCCATTCTTAAAATTATATATAATGCGATTGAAATTCTTTCTTTAAGATATAAGCAGTTCTTTAAATTAGTTTGTCACGAAAAATTTATAAAAAGCATCGTAGACATAATCTTTATTGCATACGTATCAATATAAATTACACAGAACATATCCATATCAGTCAATGTATGTGATTTATTTTGTACAATATATGCGCCAGTCTAAAATAGAAGATCTACTGCAGTATATACAGTGTAAGCGCCGAGATCAGTTTTTCAATTATATTTTGTATCGGACACAATCCCTAACAAATTAGACTAATTGTATCCGATACAAAACATAATTGAGATTTTTGTAGGCACTTATCATTGTGGCGAATTTATGAAATACCTCCCAAAATTTGACCACTAACAAAACAATAATGATTTTTGACTGTAATAACTTCATTATAATAAATTTCTATGCCTAATAAGATACATCAAGGTAGGGAAGATAGGTTAGCACATGGGAAGATGGGTTGACGTGTTATCAATCAAAATAGAGGTCAAAAAAAACTTTTTCAGTATTTAGCATTAATTTATTAATATAAAATTTAAATTGGGACCAAATACTTGGATTTGGTAACTGAATTGTAACTTAACTTTATAAATTCACCGTGATGTATTAAGAGAGTATTTTTAATTTATGACAATTTTAATTTTTAATTTTTTTATTTTATTACTTACGTGTGATTGTATAGAAGGAATTTTATTATTAAACCGGATCTAAAAATATTAATTTATGTGTGATAGTGATTATAAGCGTTTGTGATTATATAGAAGGTTTTTTAATAATAAAAAAAATAGTAACCAAAAACTGTGTGATTATATAGAGTTTGTGATTATATGGGAGGTGATTATATGGAGGGACGACTGTACGAACATTCCTATTGCAAAAATCTTAGATGTAGATCCAAGTTTAGTTAAAGAATGCAAAGTAAGTTTATATATGA